GAGCTGGGCACGTCTTTTTTGCCCGCCCAAGTCCCAGCTTTCTGAAGGCAAGCTGAAGTCGAGACATGTTCTGCAGATTTGCGGAATGCACGCAGAGGAATCGCCATTGAACCCTTGCGAGGCCTCAAGGCTGCTGCATTCCTCGAATCACTTGTGGCGATGTGTCCCTCGTTGCCTTTGAATAATACACTTAGCACTGTGGAGGCACTACCAAGGATGCACGTTTCGTAATTGTTGTGACAAAGAATCGCTGACTGCAAATTGATTTAGAATGATGCGACCAGTTGTGAGCATTTGTTATCAGGGAAGAGCAACTCCTTCTATCGGCGTACATTGCTCTTGCTCTGAGACAAGCTGTGGTACTTTGACAGCAGCGATAGACTCAAGACCGAGCAAGACGACATGTGCATTGATTACCATCCTACCTCCAGCAACTACTACATGCATGGCTGCCACAGCATCTTGGCTGAGAATGAGCAAGTTTCGGGCTGCAGCACAGCCTTGCACAAGACGCCACGTGTTGATGCAGGGATGCGCCCTGTGTGACTCAGGTGGCCAGAACCAGAAGTTCTACTGGGACGGCAAACACTTGCGAGACAAGCACGACGCTCTTTCTGGCTTTCGCAATGTTTGTGGGATGGGGAGGCTCTTTTGAAAGCAATGCCAAGAAGAAAAGCCGCAACACAAGGTTATGAACAGATATTTGGCCAATGGTTTGTGCATCTCCCGGCCGTTCGCTTGCCGGGACTCATTTCTTTGTTCATTCGCGGCTGAGCAAGCTCACTCTTGAGATCCCGTGTTTTTAAGCAAGTCCGCCACGCATATCTACACGAGGATACAGACCAACATCCACGCGGGAGCCGAATCGCTTCCTTGGTAAAGCGTAGTTCAAGTTGGGGGGCCAGGAGTAAAGCCGAAGCAGAGGGCCAGAGAGGGCGCAGGGCTGTTGCGGAGGGGCGGTGCGAGCCGCAGCCACGCTGTTCGCTTCAGTACATAAGATGGATGCCCGGAGCGGTTGAGCTGTTGCAATTTCCCGAGGCCATGCGATGCATTCCGCGTGAAACCGAGTGAAAGATTGAAGCGAAGTGATACCCGTGGCCACCAGCAAATGGTAAAGACCAATGTGCAATGAGCCCAATGGCCACTAGAACGGCTTGTTTTATCTCAAGAAATGCGACCGGGGATGGTTGCTTGAACAGCAAGCCGGCGCGGTGCTGGCGCAGAGGACGACTACTGCATGGACTACCATGTGGCGAATGGCAACGTTCGCGCGGGAACTTGCCAGGACAAGCAAAACGATCAGTGGACGCTTGAAGGCGCGTGTTGGGGATTCGAAACGTGTAGCGACGATTTCAGCAAGGCCTGCAATCTGACAGCCTGACATTCCAGCGAACCCCTTTTCACATGTTAAAGTCTATTGATCACTTGAGGGACCCAAGTACACAGCGATCCAATGGAGGTTGTGACGCGCAGGGCAGAGATGCCGGAGAAGTCTTCTTGTGGCTGTTCTCGCAAGGACCAGTGAGTGTCGTACAGTTGTCCTATTAAACATTTTGAACACCAATGACTTGTGACGATTGTAGACTCTGTGGGAGCTAAATAGCATGGCTTCAGAACTTGCGCCAGGCGGTGCCAAGGTTGAAGCGCATTCCATGTCAGTTGAGACAAGCCCTTTGCTCTGCTTCAACTTCCTCTCCGGTTCTCTTTCATTGCAGGGCCCAGCCACGACCACGCGACCGCACAGTCTTCGCTTTTGCAACTGCCACCAAAAGTTGGCTGCAAGCAACATGTGTTTTGATGGACGGTTTCACGTTGTGCACGCGTTTCGCGATGGAACATTCGTTGACTCTGGCTTATGCTACAAGGAACCTTGTGCACAAAGCCTAGTTCCAACTTGCGGCGGAAGACCCTTATATGCCTATATATATATACATATACATGTGTATGCAACCCCCCCTCCAAAACCCAGGGACAAAGCACTGTACATACCAGTGTTGTCGTTCAAAACCTTTTTCTTTTCTCTTTTTTTTTTGGGGGGGGGTACCATATATATATATATATATATGTATATATATATATATTATGTGACTCACGTGACACTTTCGGATCGAGGCGGCGCGATGTTGAAGAAGACCCCTATTCCAACGACCTTCTCCCATGGCCAGACTCTGGAGGCTTGGGGGCTGGGTGTCCACCTTGGGGTGAAGCAAGCGCTGATTGCATGATTGTTTGAGCAGGGTTCCTTAAAAGATACATGTTGCAACCATTTGAAACATGGCTTTTACCACCAAGATAAAGGGAAACCTCCATTTACAAGGCAATGTTCAGGTGTAAGGATCCCTGTTGAGGGTGTCTTGTTTCAGGCTGCACCAGTCTGAGTGTAGCGCCTGTTTGAGAGCGCATGCGTGTGCTTACACATCAATGCCAGTAGTTGGCTCACATACGCATAGTATGCTAGCAGCAGTGCAGACATGTGACATGTGGGGAAGGAACTGCGCATCGTGAATTGTATCGTACATGTTGCAGACATGTAACGACATTGTCTTCAGGCAATTCGTTCAAACTGCCGGCACGCTCTTTGCAAAACATACGCTAAGCTGTTTCAGATCTCAACTTCACTGCCACTGACAACAGCCCTCGATGTCAGTTTGGAAATGTAGCTGATTCGCGAATGTGAGAGGTTACGCTTGTTTGCTGGTGTGGCTTGCTTGCCGTTGTTGTTTGTTGTTAGTTGATTTGTTTTGGTTTCATTGTTTCGGTTTGTTTGCTGCTGTTTGTTGTTGTTTATGTTTGTTGTTTTGTGTGTTGTTGTTTGTCGGCGTTTGTTGTTACTTTTTGATGTTGATGCTGCCGGTGCTGGCTTCTGTGGTACTGGTGCTGCTGCTGCTGCTGCTGCTGCTGCTGCTGCTGCTGCTGCTGCTGCTGCTGGTGCTGGTGCTGGTGTTGTGGCTGCTGCTTCTGTTTCTGCTATCAGCGTCGTTGCTACCCTCTCGGCGTCGTTTCTGCTGACTCTGATGCTTGTTTTCCTGCCACGGGCAGGTGCTTCAATGGAGCCGAGTGTGGTGCTTGATTGTTCCCCTTGGAACACTCGCTTGGCACCAGTAGCAAGTATCAAGCCACAGGCGTCAAACGGAATCCACCCATTTTGCTTTGATCCCAGAACCCACCTTTTGCACCATGGATTTCTGCAGGAAACCTGAAAGCTGGTTCTGGTTTCAGCCCAGTTGCTTTGAGAAACTCCCAACCCTTTGCTCAAAACTTAACTTCTATTGGGTTGGATCTTTAGACTTCAACTTTTTGGGACATCAAGAATTCGGTTTTCCACGAATCACCCCCAAGAGGTGATTCACTGTTTGCAGGTTGGTTCCTTGCAACCAAGTTTTTCCCCCATGGATTTTGCAACCATGCCTTTTCAAGAGACATGGTGTAGCCCAGCCTTTTCCCCGCGGAAGCCAGGGATATGGATTCAAGACACTGAGATGAAAGATGGGGGTGGCGGGGTTTTGCTTACCTTGAGTACTTCTTGGCGCTAAAATGAAAGGGGGTAGGGGCGAAAAGCGGCGGGGTCCGATCCACAGCCTGAGGTCTCCTGCTGGTCGGAGCGCTTCAGTTCCACCGGCTCGGACAAGCTCTCGCCGCTTTCAGCCGAAAAAGCGGCGCGTTGATTTTTTTTTTGAGACGGTTGGGTTGGAGTCCAAGGGTGGAGGCAGGGCATAGGCCTCAAGGAAACTGGTTTTTGTTGGATCCACCTGGAAGAGTTTTTTTGTTGATGCTTGCTTGTTTTCGTTTGATCCGGTACCCTGGAGGCAGTTCCTCTGGAGGCCAATGTGGTGGGGGAAACCAACTCTTTTGCAGGTGGGGTGACACCGACTTGACTTGATCTGGAGGCATTTGCGCGCTAAAAGGCAATGCGGTCGGTGTCTCTAGTTTTTGGTTGGGCAGAGGTGGAACTGTAAGCTTGAGCTGAAGCCAAGTTGGATTGCAGATTTGCCTTCCATACGTTCCGGACAAAACCCAAACCTAGACCCTCAAACCACCCTTCAAAAAGAAAAGCCGCGCCATACTTTTCTCGCAACACACTGGCCAAGTGGCACCCCTTCCCTCGCTCGAGTCGAGTCCGCCGGGCATCCGGCTCGCTCTGAGATGCGTGGCCGGGAGCTGGGTGAACTCCCGGGGCTCGCTGGGGCTGGAGGGCTTCAGCTGCAAGGCCTGCGTGCAGGCGCGAGCTGAGGCTCCCCAGAAATGGCCCTCGCGACGTCAGAGGCCCTTGAGGCAAGGTCGACAGAAAAACATCAAACAACACAATGTGTAGTGCAGATTCATCATTCAGCTACTCAAGCTGAGCCTTGCCATTGATCAACGGCAACTCAGCCAACGTTCGATTTGCAATGAAATGTGGACATGTGCAACTCAGAATTGCACTTGCTGTCCAGCATGATCAGAACTGTGCCCGACCAAAAGCTGTTGTTTCGCCAGTTTGTGTGCCCAGCTTTCCCAAGTCATCCCTCGCTTCAAGCAATGCATGGAATGGGCCCTCATCACTGCACTGCAGATCGGCGCAGCTTTCAAGACAAGTTCAGATCACGCCTGTCATTTGTGACACATCGCCACCCTGAAAATCAGCGCATGTGCACGAACCATTTTGTGGGGGTGGGGGGGGTCAAGCCTTCGACCTTTTTCCTGGTGCTTCGCAGGTCGTCAGCCCCAAGTATGCAGACTTGGACTCGCAGATTCGCCAGGTGCGGGGGAGCGGAACTGGCATGCGGTCCAAAAAGCCCTTGGGTTAGGGACAAGAAATCACACCCCCGTGAGCTGATCCTGGTAAAAATCTACTACTTTTTCAGGGACTCCACGGACACACTACTCTTCCATTATGCGTATTCGAAACCAAAAGTAAGCCAGCCGACCCCTGGCGCATCTCCAAAATTTGCCATTTTAGGGGGTATTCCAGAACACTGGCTATCTTGAAACTGTTTGTTATAGAGTGTGTACTGGAAACAGCTGAAAAAACTGATGAGTTTCTACCGTAGCTAGAGGGATGTACAGTTGAAGTCGGGAAACAAACTCCAACGCTGGTACGTTTCAGGCGCGTATATGTGTTTGTTAGGGGGAAAAGATTAACTTGGGCGACGCGTGTTGTACTCCCAGAATGTGGGGTTGCTCAAGAGTGGTGCTCAAATCAGTAGCATTGGCTTCAATCTAATGAATGCCACCCGAATTGCAGATGACGCATGTATTAGTTCTACATGTTCCAGTGTTATCATCTGATATACCGAGCATTCGCAATTCGCAGTTTTGCAAATACAAAACGAGTGTACTTAAACGTGCGTGTCTTAATCTTTGAAACAAACATATGCTACTAGCAGAATCAACCAGGTAATTGTTGTTACTCACGATATAATTGTTGTGCAACAGCAAGTCAACATCAACACCAAGACCGCTGGATACAATAGAATTCCTTCAACATGTCTTCCCAATCATTTGAATTGGGATTGGCACTGCGTTGGGACTGCCCACTCCTATTTTCCCGGGGGGATATGCCCAAATGAGTCATCTACGCAAACTACTGGAACAATGATTGATTGTCGATGCTTCTGCTTGGAGTGGAGATGCCCCGTTGAGTGCGGAAGCACAGTCAAGTTAAGTGCAAGTAAGTAGGCCATTCTCCGTTGCTCGAATGAGTTGCCTAAACCTAACGGCAAACAAGCCTTGTTGCTGTGAGCTTCCCTCGGGGCATGTTTGGAGCACTGAGGTTGCCACGCGCATATACCAGAAACATTCAGTTCGCCCCAACACATATATTCGGGTAAGCTAACTGGGGCTGTCTCAAGTTGAAAATCCTGCCAAAATGGAGCTCCTCGGGGCTTGCTCAGCAAATCGGCTCACCCTGCCGCCAACTACCCGCCAGGAGCTCTTCTTCGCTGCGGGCTTGAAGTTGCACCTCACGGTGGACACGCGCACCGTTCGCAGCGTCACGGCCGCTGGGGGTTTGCGCACAGGCGAGTCGGGTCGATTGGAACCCCGCCGTTCAGGTCGTCATGTGTTTTGTTGTCGGGGGTCTGAAGGGACCTCCGGTTGAGAGGGATCTTGAGGTCCTGCGGTTCGGGGGCTTCCGTGGTTTCTTTGTTGCATTTTGCTTGGATGTTAGGACTTTAACTTTTTGCCAACTAATGGGGTTCATTGAACCACTAAAAGTTAAACTTTTAGCAGGGGAGCAGAAAGCAACCGAGTTTTGCTGAAATTGGCAAGACGACAATTTGACATGGTGCCAACACAATCTCTGGAGTCAGCCCGTGACCGACCTGTATCATGTCTTGTTCACTTTCCGCTGGAAATCCGGATTGTCGTTTTTGATGAGTGCCCAAAGACGTATGGTGAGAACACGCGCACTGCTATGTTCTCTTGCAAAGGTTGATATCACAGATGACTTGAAAAGCTTTGCCTGTTGTTATCACGTGGCAGGTTGAGGAAAGTGGTTTCTTTTTGGGACGCTGCTGTCACGGTGTTGCCTTTAAAAGAGTTCCCCGGAAACGACCATGGATTGGATTCGCAACATATCTAGATGGGGCACCAGCGTTCAATGATGTGATTGGCTTTAGCCCGTGTCACTGAGCCTTTTCAGGGGTTCCCTTATTTCCATTTTGGGCGGCTTTAAACATCACGTTTTGGCCCATGTAGAGGTGAGTATCCCATGGGTCAGAGAAAAATAAAGGGGGTGAAGTCAACGGGGCGAGGCTTCAGGGCAGACAAAGGCAGAAAGCAGCGCAAAATCCCATGAAACAGCAGAAAACAGCCGTTGATTTGAGACAGACAAAAAGCAACAATCATATGGGTTTGTCACTGGGAGCTGGGGTTGCGACGGTTCCTCCTTCCACCCAAAGGATCGTTGTGAGCTTGTAAGTTGGGCTGGATTTATTCCTCCTTTTCTGTGTTGTCACAGCCGCTTTGCTTCAGTGTAGAGTCGTTCAAATAAGAGGGGCGTATTTGGAAATTTGTGCGCATTTTTTCAGTGCCCAAGGGGCTGGTTTGAGACACCGATGGTCCAAAACACCCATGCCCAAACAGTGGTCCCAAACACCCACGGTCCCAAACGGTGGTCCCAAACATGGTCCCAAACGGTGGTCCCAGACGGCTGGTCCCAAACACCCATAATCCCAACACAGTGGTCCAAGTTGGTCCCAAACACCCATGGTCCCAATTCCCAAACACGGTGGTCCCAAACGCCCGGCCCCAAACGGTGGGTCCCAACACCCACAGTCCCAAAGGTGGTCCCAAACCATGGTCAAACACGCATGGTCCCAAATTGTGGGTCCCAAACACCCATGGTCCCAAACGGTGGTCCCAAACGGTTGGTCCCAAACGATGGTCCCAAACGGTGGTCCCAAACATGCATGGTCCCAAACCATGGTCCCAAACGGTATGGTCCCAAACACCCATGGTCCCAAACACTGGGTCCCAAACACCCATGGTATGGGTCCCAGTTTGGGTCCCAAACCCCAAATACATGGTCCCAAACACCCCCACTCCCACAAACACCCATGGTCCCAAACAGCTGGCCCAAACACCTATGAGTCTGACCCCAAACACCCATGGTCCCAAATCGTGGGACCCAAACGCTGGTCCCAAACAGCTGGCCCATGTGGCCCAAACAGTGGCCCATGGTTCTACGCCAAGCCCTAGTACACGGTGGTCCCAAACGCCCGTGGTCGGTGTATGCCTTTTTAAGGTGCGCAGCAAGGGTGGAAGTGCGACTTGTCCGAACCATACCCCCGAACCATACCCCGAACCACACCCCCGAACCATACCCCGAATCATACCCCCTTCGTACTACTACAGCCGCTGCTACTACTACTACTACTCCTACTACCACTACTACTACTACTATTATTACTACTACTGCTACTTCTACTTCTACTTCTACTTCTACTTCTACTACTGGCTCCTGCTACTACTACTACTACTACTACTACTACTACTACTACTACTACTACTACTACTACGGCTACTACTACTACCACAACAACAACAACAACTACTACTACTACGCTTGCTTCTCTTACTACTACTACTACTACTACTACTACTACTACTACTACTACTACTACTACTACTACTTCCTCTACTACCACTACTACTACTACTTCTGCTACTACTACTACTGCTACTGCTGCTACTGCTACTGCTACTGCTACTGCTACTGCTACTGCTACTGCTACTGCTGCTATTCCTACTCCTGCCACTCCCACTACTACTACGACTACTACTACTACTACTACTACTGCTACTACTACTACTGCTACTACTACTACCACTGCTACTAGTACTCCTGCCACTACTACTACTGCTGCTAATACTACTACCGCTACTTCTACGACTCCTACTAGGACTTCTACTACGACTACTACGACTACTACTACTACTACTACTACTATTACTGCTACGACTACTAGTACTACGACTACCATTACGACTACCGACTACTACTACTACTACTACTACTACTACTACGACTACTACTACTACTACTACTACAAGCACTACTACTACTACTACTACTACTACTACTACTACTACTACTACTACTACTACTACTACTACTACTACTACAAGCACTACTACTACCTACTACTACTGCTACTATAGTAGAACAGCCTGAAACACCTAATCAACGCCACGACACAGAAACGTGTTGCCTTTCTAGACTAAACGTGCGCTCATGAATGCATGCAGCAATAAATGGCTTGAACGCTTTGTGCGCAGCACAGCAACCAAACACAAGCAAGCCAGCTAGCCAGCAAGCCAGCAACAGCGCCGGAAGGAAAGAAAGTGCTTTTTCGGGGAAACACGGGTGTTTGCGGTGTTTTCTTTTCGTTTTCGTCCTCGCGCCTCACCCCATTTGCCGCTCACCCCATTAATTTCCCTCTAAATGGGGGTGATGCTTTAAGGGGGAAATATCGGAAGCCCTGCATTTGCCATTGGGAACCTGTTGATGCTCGACCGGAATTGGGGCGCCCGCCAGGTGGCACCACGGACGTCTTCGTGGCCGAGCTCATGGACGGCGCTGGTGAGACGCTGCGCCGCTTCCGGTCCATCACGTCATCAGGCGAGGAAAAGAACGACTGGCTTAGGCTACAGGAGGTGCTCTGGGAGTGCGTGCGGTTTGTGCGGGGTTTGTCCATGATTGTTGTGAATCGCTGTGTTTTAAACTGTTAGGTTTCCGGCAGCTCCCGTTCAGTGGACAAGCACAAGCCTAGCAACAAGGCCAGAGCAAAACTAGGCACACATCCATCATTCTGGGAGCATGGTCACCGTGAAAAGAGTGTTTGGCGCAAGCTTTGTTTGGTTACCTATGTAGCACAAGTCATGTGACCATCTCAACATGACACGCCCAACACGTGTCTAGCATGGCTTCAGGCATAGTTATTGTACATGTCTGAACTGAGTCTAGTGCATTTCCAGCATGTGTCCAGAACGCGTGTTTCACTTTATTGCATATGCTGGCATCGCTGCATCCCTGCATTCGGGTCCCAAAACAGGTATGGTGTCCAAGAGCTCCGCAGATGCCCCCCAGAATCCCAGTGGCCATCGAGTTTCCTCAGCAACTTCTAGAGGAAAGTTGGCGAAGAAAGCGCTGGTCCTCAGAGCTCGTCTGCAGTTGTCTTGGGTCTGGAGGGATCACCCAACCCGTCCAGGCCAATGCTTGGCGGAAGTGGGAGGCTCGCTGAGGGCGGAGGCCTGTGCCAGGCAGGGGAGCGGGGCCATGCCCATGGCCAAATACAGGGGGGGGCCATGCCCACGCAACACCTGAGATCATGGACTAAAGATCACTTTTTGGGGGGTTGGACCAGTTTAGTGGGAAACCAGGTTGAATACTTTTTGTTTGGGTCCACTCAGGAGGTAAGGAAAGCTGGGGTTTGGGCCAGCTTGCAGGGAGGGCTTCGGAGAGTTCGAGCGGAGTTCCGGGGGCTGTTGGGGATATCGCTCGGCGTATGTTTGGGCGGGGCGTCCTTCCAAAATCAAGTGCCACAAGGTGTTTCTTGTCTTATGGATATGCGTTTCGGGTGAGCAACGCCATTTCCCTAAAATCAATCAAAGGGCAAAATGCCAATGTTGCTTTCCCACGGCTCCCTTTGTCAACTACAAAAAGCTGCCCAGACTTTAGACCCATCTAAATGCATTGGCGGTCTTTTTGTTGAGGCTCGGTACCCTCGTTGGGTTGCTTTACAGGGAGATAAAAGGGGAAAACATCCAAATCTTCCAAGTTTATCTAGTTTGAGACAAATCTATAGTTCACCTTCAAGGGTGGTTTCAATCATCAGCCTTCCTTTTAAATCTCAAGTCGATGCAATGTGGACTGAGACTGGGTGCATGCTTGCCATGGGTGTACTGGATCCCATTGCTGTTTGGGTCATTTGTTATTTCCCCCCTCCGCCCAATATCAGCTTTTGGGCCAATAGCATGAGCTTCCTTTTGCTGGAGTGATATTAGGCTGGAAATGAGAGCCTCCACGCTTCTCGCCAAGGTCCCACTTCAGCGCCGAAAATCGAGTTCGAATGGCCATTGGTTGGATTCCAAAGCTGATTGTGAGGCATAATTATATAGACCATGTCCATCTTGGTAGAACCCAAATGCATTGGCATTGTGCAGATGTTGTTGTACTTTTCTGCAAACAGGTGGTAGGAGCACCCTATTTTGGAGCCACAGCCAAGTGGCTACCAATCAGTTATTGTTTGACCTCTAAAACAGAACAGGGAGCGTGTTTGTTTTCTTCCAAACATGATTCCAGATGGTTTGCTATATTTTTTGGCAACCATGGCTGCCAAGATGTTTAGCCTCTTTGGAGGTTTTTGAATTGTTTCTGGGCTCCTGCAGAGAAGGTATCGCCCTTTACGGCTTCCCGTTCTATTTTGTTCCCGGTGGAAGTGCATCTTTGTGTTGCCAACCCGAGTTTCCTTTTCTTGCTGGTGCTCAGTACGGGGGAATGAACCCAGGAATCCCCTTAAAGGAAACCACTACTTGACCGGTTTAACGGTTTAGACGGGTCATTCCCTCATTCCCTGCCTATCGCACCAGCAAGTTTGGGTTGCCAGCTTGAGCTTCCTTTTGAAATGAGCTTACTGTTGGAGCCAGCGGCAAAGATTTTTTCCACCTAAAACAGTTACAGGATCCTGAATTAGGAAAAACATCTACAATATCGGTCTAACATTATTTGGGGGACTGGGCTTCCTCCCTCACACGCGGTTTTTCGCCCTCGGCTTTGTCACCAGACCTCCGGCGGGGTGCGGTGACCTTCGACTTGTGGGATTGTGCTGGTGTGTGTGGGTGTGTGAGCGCGCTGTTCGTAATACATATATGCATATATTTGCATATGTATGATATGTATATATGGTGTTGTTTTAAGAATCTTAGACTACACACGCATTGCTATAGATGTGTATACAATCATACACATTACACATTGTTGTTCTGGTGGTGTGTGTGTGTGCGCGGGTTGCTGTGTACTGTGTAGATGTGTGTGTGTGAGTCTGTGTGTGTGTGTGTGTGTTTCTGATTTGTGTGTGTATGACAGTCAGTGTTTATGTGCGTATATCAGTGTTTCGAGTCTGTGTGTTTGTCTTGGCGGTGTGCTTTGGTCTCTGTGCTGTGTGAGTGTGTGGGGAGGCGTGGGTGTTTGAGAGTGTTTGCCTGTTTGCTTGTGAGTCTGTGTCTATGTGTGTGAGTGTTTCTGTGTGTGGTATGATGTAGATATTTTGTGCGTGTGTGCCTGGTTTGTGTGTGTGGCGTGCCTGTGAGTGAGTGTGTGTGTGTATGTGTGTGTGTGCGTTTGTTTTTGTGTGTGTGTGTGTGTATGTGTGTGTGTGTGTGCGTTTGTTTTTGTGTGTGTGTGTGTGTGTGTGTGTTTGTGTTTGTGTTTGTGTTTGTGTTTGTGTTTGTGTTTGTGTGTGTGTGTGTTTGTGTTTGTGGTTGTGTGTGTGTGTTTGTATTTTTTGTGTTTGTGTTTGTGTTTGTATGTTTTGTGTTTGTGTTTGTGTTTGTGTTTGTGTGTGTGTGTGTTTGTGTCTTGTGTTCGTGTGTGTGTGTTTGTGTTTGTGTTTGTGTGTTTGTGTTTGTGTTTGTGTGTGTATGTGTGTGTGTGTCTTGTGTTCGTGTGTGTGTTTGTGTTTGTGTTTGTGTGTTTGTGTTTGTGTTTGTGTTTGTGTTTGTGTTCGTGTTGGTGTTTGTGTTTGTGTTTGTGTGTTTGTGTGTTTGTGTGTTTGTGTTTGTGTTTGTGTTTGTGTGTGTGTGTGTGTTTGTGTTTGTGTTTGTGTGTGTGTTTGTGTTTGTGTTTGTGTGTGTGACTGCGGTACGCGTGCGTGCGTTCGTGCGCGGCTGGGTGGGCGCGCGGGCTGATGGGTGGGCACTGCAGGTGCCTCTGTTCGGTTTATGTGACTTCATTGTCTGCTTTTGTTTGTTTTACTTTGTGTCTGTTGTGTGTTGCGTGTTGTGTGTTGTGGTGTGGCTGTCCTTCTTTGTTTGTCTTTGTGTTTGTTGACTTTAGCTGGATCCATAATCCACTTATGTCACTTCTTTCGTCATCCCCGGGAATTGCCCGCGCGTGCGCCAGGGAGGCGATCACTTCAGTTCCCCCAGGGACCTTCCCAGACCGCTGATCCAACAAGCACATGTGGGAGCTTCGGCCTCTTCAGCTTCTGGTCTTCTTCCCTCCTGCTCATTCATCTCTCTCCCTCAGTTTAGCCTGTTCACCCTAGTTTTGTCCAGTTTATCATCAAAACCTGTTTACAGAGAGCAGCGCGAGCATTTGCACGCCAGTGAAGCCGAGCCGGCCCAGCTGATGGAGGCTGGTTGAAGCTCGCAGGCTGAGCCAGGTGATTAGCAAATCTGTACACGCCACGGGGCCATCAGCCATCAATTGTTACAAAAGGTCACCTCTGGCTGACACTTAGCACATCACCACTGTCGAGTCACATGTTCTGGAAGAGCCCATTCTGCCAAAGTCCAGCAGTACTGTAAGACACCTTTCACATGACAGCTAGGATGGGCATTCTTTCCCCATCCCTGCCCTTTCCCAGTTCCTGCGTGTTCGTACTTGTGTTTCACAAGTTTGTTCCCCAGCCAATAGCACACGTCTCTGCGGCTCAACGGAATCTGATGGTGCCCCGCAAAGCGTCCGGCAGCCTTCAAGTCTGAGAGCCATGCGCAAGTTGCACCCCACATCGGACGGTCAATCCAGAAATGCATTTCCTCAGGATGCTTCGGTCATGCGCGTTTGCATCGGGGCGATACTTGAAGCTGGATAGTCAGGGGCTTCTCTGTTGCTTCGGGTGCCGAGAGCATGCGCTTCGGTCACGCCCGCTGGGAGTTCAGAACCGTTCTGAAAGTGATGTCCAATGGATCCAAGTCCTTTCACTTTGCACTCGGTGCGCGGCTTATTGCCCAAATAATCTACGACAGAATCCTTGCAGAGGATATTGCAAGTTTAACCAAGTCGACTCACATCAGGGGAAACTGCTTGTTGATGGCACACAGGTTGTGAGTGCAATCAACATCGGACTTGTCAACATGGTTTCCAGCAAGAAACAGCTTACAGATTGTGACAGGGCGTTGCTTCACACTTCAACCAGCGGCGATGGATGTTTCATACCATCCGATTGCATGACCCATCCGACTTTTGATTGCCCATCCAAATCTCACAGGTCACGGAGCTCTCTTCTCTGCTCTGGGAGGAGTACAAGGCTTGTCAGTTCTTTTCAATGAGATGTGATTGGTGTTGGAAGGCCAAGACAATTCCAACCATTGAAGGATGCTCTAGTTAAAAGGAACCTTTGAACAATGGCAATCAATCAGACGGCCCCCCAAGGCCGGCGTAGTTGAAACCTTGCCAAGAGTGCTCACCTGGAGCACAAACGATGTCGTATTTTGCACCACCTGAGCCCCAATCAAAACCCGGGTAGATGAAGGTTAGTAAGGGACGATCCCAACCATAAATAGCTGCGGCCGCCTGTGTAATCCTGTACATGGTTCTGGGTAGACCATTTGAGTACCAGGTTTTGATCGCGACTCACCTGCTTGTGCATGCTGAGTAACCACAAGGACTGGATGAAGTAGATGGTCGTTGCTGGAAAGTGCTGGCAAGCTGCACAAAGGCAGAGACACAAGAATGACTCATCCGTTCCCCTTATAGTCCAGGTCACCCTTATAGTGATACAAATGTGTTTCCAAAACTCCCGGGGTGGCAATACTAGATTCGACTGGCCCAATTTGAAGCCAACACTAAGCTCGCAATTTCTCCAGACCTTCTCCCAGTCTTCCTTAGGGGACCCCCTGATTGGAAAAGAAGAGCAGGTTGCGATTCCCTTCCTTACTTAAGAACAAGCATCTGTTTCTTGCTAGCAAGTATCCGGCTGCCTTGCCAGCTATCTGGCTTTTGCGGTCTCTCTCTCACAATTTGTTTCAGAAAAACATCATCCTGGAAAACTTTTTGGCTGCTCGTGACCTTCCCCCCACAGTGAACAACAGCACAAGACTGGATACCCCAAACCTGCATGGGGACCGGTAACAATAATAATTGTTATTATATGTGTCCCTGTTGTTTGTGGTATTTGTTGTTTTAAGGGGGTAGTTTTATTTTTAGGGGCAGCGAATGCTATGTTATTCAATATCAAGCAGGGAGATTGAAATTCCCTTTGAAGCGAGCACGAATGAATGCCTTTGTTTGTTTCTGAAAAACCTTTTGCGTGGTGTTTTTGTTTGCTGTCAGCGAGTGTTACTTATCATCAATCAGCAATGTTGAGAATCGAACCGTGCCATGGTCACGGGCCCGGAAGTTGATTGTACAAAACAAGAAACACACACAGCGGAGCTTTTGCTTGGATATTGCAGAAGCACTTGTTTGGCAAGATATCCTTCGTAGAATGTAACAACGCGAAGACAGTTGTTTGTATCAGCTTTGTGGCATGTCAACGGTGAACCACCACCAGACCCCAAATATCGTACTATATG